ATTTTCTCAAAATGAATAATTCAGGGTGACTCCCTGCTCAGAGAGGAGAGGAGATGAGGAATGGAGATGAAAGGAGAGGATAGGACGGGAAGTGAGGAAAAGGAGAGGAAAGTGGAATAAGGATGAGGGTAGACAAAAGGTGGACAGGAAAGGAAAGTTGGCGCAGGAGTGCTGAGGAAAGCAGGAGGCAGGGGCTTTAAGGTTCTCATCTCACTGCTTTTTTCCCACAACCTGCAGGGAATCACTTCAACTCTCGCTGAACGGACGCAGCAAACTGCCTGGAAAGAGCTTCTCACCTCCACAGTCAGACTTTACTTGCTTTTTGGAGTTGGAGGCATCCGCATAGATTATTATCTGTATTCACTACAAACAAATACATCCACAGACGACCGAACAAGCAGATTTCACACTCAGGAGCAATTACGTTTTTTTGGGGTTTTTTTTGGAGGAACATAAGAAAGAAAAGCGAGCCGGAAGTTACCGTTTTAAACACTAAACTAATTCTGAAACAACAGCTCAATTAATTAATTAATATTTTAATTTAATAAAATATCAATTAGGTCATTTGATAAATAAGTGTGAATGTGATGCTATTCTTCGTCTTACATCAATAGACGGTTGAAGTTTACCGTGCGATCTTTTTTTCTTATAACGAAAAAACTAACCGAATAAAAACTCAAGCTTCTCCTCCAGCTCTCCTCCCCGCCGTCACATGACAAGAGTTTCTATTTATGTAATCTACTGCTCGCACTCCTCTAAGACTCGGGCCATACTTGCAATATGCAATCTTAAAGCCGGGCCTCTGTGATTTCCACGGCGATTCCCCGGGTCATCTCCTCCTCTCTTCTTCAAGTTATCAACGCGCCATCCTTCCTTTAAATTCCCCAGCAGGCGGGCCCGTAACCCCCAACCCCCAAAATTGGGGAAATGTGTGGGCCCGGTTAGGCGTTTTTTTAAAAAAAAATTTCCCCCCCCCCCCCCCCCCCCCCCCCCCCCCGCCCTCCCGCTATCTATTCTCTCCAGTTGGGAGACTGTCAGAGCAAAATTGTTAAAGATTAATTCACAAAGGGAAGGGAGACAAAGAGAAACGTGGATCAATGTATACAAAGGAAGAGAGAAAGACGAGAGGAGAAGATGATTACTTCACATTTCTGGGAATCGGATTCTGTCGAATGTGACCACAGACGTTATTCACCCTCATGAGGGAAAAGGAAATCGCCGACTGATGTTGAGTGAAACATCTGTAGGGAACCCTGCACTGTGCCGTACGGCAGCAAGAAAGTCTCAGCTTTAATTATTTCAACGTTGTAAATCAGGTTTGGCTCCAAATGCTATGACACTCATAAGCCTGTGATGTCAGGGGACCACAGGGGACAAGTTGATCAACTCATACAAACTCCAGCCAGAGTAAGAGAATTACTAAATTAAATAATTACACAATCTTGTAGCTTTGTACTTTTATCAAACAACCAGAAATGTTCTGACACATTTGCTCATATTCTTTAAAACAAAAGATTAATCCAAACCAGTTTACACATCCAAGTCAACAGTACTTTGACTTTTTTTTTTTTTTTTTAACAGAAGAAGCATCACAGTTTAATCCAACGGCTGCCTGGCTAAAGGTTTGAGCGCGGGTAAAACCTTAAACCAGAGAGACCAGCAGCGTAACAAACACAACCTTTGACGGTCAGCCCAGGTTGAGGCCTAACTTTGACCCCCAGAGTCTAACTGCAACACTGACGGATGGAGCCCCATCGCCATCGAGCGTCCAAGGTTGACTGACAGCTGCCAAGGCCCCGTTCCCCCTCCCCCTCCCCATGTAAGCAATCATCATCTGTCAGCAGCTGGACTGTGTCTCCTTCCCTCCCTCCCTCCCGCTGTTGCCTAATCCCTCACTCTGTGTAACAACTGCCGGAAGCTTTGACCTGGACCCAGTTAATACATAATCTGCCATCTCCAGAACTAATACGCCACAACCCTCCCCCATCACCACGCTGGGCCCGAGCCAGGAGGAAGACATTGCGGCTAGTGTGTCACGCAGATCCGAACTGACCTGATCGGGCTTCAGGTCGCCGAGCCAGAGTCCGCGGAAGGGGGCCAGCATGCTCCGCAGGGTGGAGGTGAAAGAGTGGAAGTCCCACAGTAGCAGATAGGGAGAGCGTGCCGGGGTGGGGGATGGGGAGCCCTGGTTAGTCATATAAAGGCGGGGTCTTGCTCGAGGGTACTCCACAAAGCATCCTATAGTGAGGAGTGCAGGGGCATGCCAATCTCTATTTACAAAGGGCTATTAGTTTGCAGAGAAATTCTTTCTGGTGGCGGGTGAGTCTCACCGCCGTCATTAATTGATTGACTGACGCTTTCAGGCGCCCATAACTAATTGGATTTTAAAAGAAATACAAAACGTGTTATTGCTGCATTTTGTAAATTTCCAAAAATAAATAAATAATGTTTTGATGGACCTAAAATGTATAATTTCTGTAGAAATATGACAGAAAATGCGTTTATTTTGTGTTTATCTCCTATATAATGAATTCATACTTTCTCCCTGATGCATTAGCTCAGCCAGCCATTTGGATAAAAAGCAAGTAACATGTAAATTGCAGTGTTTTCCGACAATAGAACCGACCTTTTAACCACAGGCAAATCTGCCTACAATTACCACCAAAACCCGCGTTGCCTAGCAACATACAATTTAGAAATATGCTTTCAGAGCAGCTTTGCGGCCGCGTCCATTAACAGATGAAATTATCAAAGCAACAAATGTCAGCCACATGCAAATGAGGTCTACACGGCTGTCTGTGTGTGTACCAACAATGTGAAGTATCTGCATGGAGCGAACAATTCCTTTCAAAAGCACGCGTCCTCCTGCTGTGATGGGTGCAGCCCATTGCTGTCTTGACAGTCCAGCAATGGGGATCTTTTAATATGTGCTCTAAGGGCCAAAATATACGAGGGAGCAATCATGCGTTCCCCGGTCGGCCTTGGACCCCATTTTATTCCGTTTCAACCTGCCGGCAATGTGAGGTGGTTCACAGAATCTAGCAGAACGACAGGAAGCTGGTCTGAACAAAATGAGAATATGTGCGGATTAGTGCAGCAGTGGAAATGGAGGATTAAACCCCTTCTCTCTCCTCTCATTACGACCTGCGCAGACCAAATGACACACAATCACACATTGGCCATCAGCACTGTAATTCGATTTTATCCGTTCAATGGTGCTGCTAGTCAGCCGCTGGTTGCCCAAAATGTCTGAAATGTACTTTCATCAGACTCGGTGTGAAAATAACATGCTGAATTAAAGCTTTAATCTAATGGCTAAATTATTCAGTTGATTCAAATAAGGATGAATTCATTGACTGAAGTAATTTCATTTCAGACTGCAGTCAAAACGTAAATTTGGGACTAAGATACAAAAACAGAAACAGCTGGAAAATGTTGCCTCTGAAACAGCGGAGTCAGTAGTACATTGTGACAGCAACAAGACCGAGGAAGGCTTTGTATCCGGATTGCTTGTAAATACCTCCCGGGTACTCTGGTGCACCCACTTTACTATCATAATGCAATAAAACATCCATGTTTACAACGATAGGAGCATGGGGGGGGATGTGAAGATCAGAAAGAACTTCATCATTAAAGCTGCAGTTACAATGATACCGCAGCTAAAAAGCAACATACAACTAATAACCACAAAGCAACTCAAGAAATGTTGTAGAATTGAGGCAGATTACATTATTTTAAAAGTAGCCTGAGCTTTGATTTGACTCTTATTACTCACAAATGGGCGTTCAAAATGAGAACAACGTCTTTCAAAAGGAGACCGGACGGAATTCAGAAGCATTACACGTGCAAACACATTAACGCCAAGACTCTTTCAACCCTACTGCACGCACTATCTGAGACTTTCTGTGATGATAGAAGCCTTAATGTCAACTGTTCACACATGACCGCAGCGGCTGACAGACTGTGACATGAAGTCGGTGTGCAGTTGTTAAATTGTAAAAAGGTATCAGAAAGGGTGCTGACAGCTGCTCCTCCCGAACCCTCCATGCCGCGCCTCATCAGGGCCATTTTGTGTTGTATTTGACGGGGCGTTATGTCATTCTGACAAAAGAACCGCGTGAGATCACCGCAATAATAAAAAGGACTTGACACAAAGTATACGGAAGCCTGCAAAATCTGGCGCTCGCAGAGATAACCAGACGAGAAAACGAGATGTAAGTATTGTTTCAGGATCGAAGCACAGGTAGAAAAAGCAAAAGGAGGCCAGGGATCGGATTGCCAGAAGGGCCGAAGCAAAGGTTATTGCTCAAAAACCAGAATCAGCAAGCAATTTAGATCTCAAACCACTCGACTAGATGAGAAAAAAAGCCACGCTATTTATCTCCTGCTGATGTAATGAAAACAAGCACAGGATAGCAAACGAAGGACAGCACTGACTAGAAAGATACGATGTTTTACAAAAAGTGCTGGCGTAACATTCTTGTTGTGTTTGGGCTTTCTTACGGTCACACACCATGCGTGACACAAGCGTTCACATTCAGCTAAACACACCACAAGTCCCTCGGCTGAACCATGAACGAAAGCAGAATATAAAAATAAAACAAAAATAAAAGCACTGATTTAGACAAAGGCAGTATGCACACCAACGATTCGTCCCAATAAGGGTTGAAAATGCATTTCTTCTTATTCTTTAAAGAAAACACTTCAACCCAACACTCAAGTAGTTGCTTTCAGTTTACTAAATGGCTCTTGGAAATGTTAACCATTTTGGGAAGGCATGATATGATTTTTAACAATGCAGCAGCAGTGCTTTTTGGAGCTATTCAAAGCAATGAGAGCATTTGAGTCTTACATAAAGCATGTCAAAAATGAAGAGCTCTAGCACAAATCATTTTTTTCTAATCTAATAAAAACAACAGTGAAACAGCCGGGAGAAAGCAGGGCCATATTTGACAAGAAATCTGGTGCTATGAATGAACGGAGGAAAAAAAGGGATTTACTTGTATCTGGTGAAGCCATAGTGGACACGATGACTGGTGGACCCGTGCGTCGACTTTGTTTCTGGTTAACAGCCATGGTGTTTTGTCCTGGTGGTCCCATAAGGACGAGGGCATTCTCCTGTGCAGGTCCCCCACCCTTACGCATCAGCTGAGGACTGGGGTGAGGGCTGTGCATGGGGGACAACGGCATTAGGTTCCTGTCCCTCTTCATCAGCTCCATAGGCACTGTGTAATTGGTGGAGTACGCTTTGGGGACCTGTTGCGGTGGCTGTGTTAAAGCTGGCATGGACACAGGCATCTGCTGTGGCATACCTGACATGGCGTGCATAGACCCTTGGATGGCAGGCATTGACCCGGTCATTTGCTGAGGCATCATCTGCATACCATGCATGGGCATGCCTGACATTGTTGCCCCAGCAGAGTAGGCTGACATGGGTCTCGAATGAACAGGCATAAGTGCTCCAGCGTATGGCCCCGGGGAGCGAGGTGGCTGGCCTGGGTAGCCTCCAGAGGCTTCCATGAGGTGCTGAGATGGGGCACTGTTGGGCCTCCTGCCCATTAAGTCTACCATCCTTGGGGAGATGGTCTGCATGCCCCCGGGGGTCTGTGGGGGCATCATTTGGGCATCCACGGTCAAAGCCTGTGAGGGATGGGTTGGATGATGGTGCTGCTGCTGGTGGTAGATGTCTGAGCGATGGCTGAAGCTATTGGAGCGGCCTCTCATGGGTGTCTGAGCTTGGGAGGCGGCTGGCAGAGCATCGGCGGACCGCTTGCAGTTGTGGACCAAGCGAGAAAGAACACGGGCCTGGCCCAGGTTGGCGGCGACGGTGCGGACATCGTTCTCCTCCATAACAGCCAGCATGCCGGTGGAGTCAAATCCCTGCTGGATAATTGAGGAGATGGTGCTCTCGGAGAGGCCCTCATTTCGCAGCAGGGCGAGGAACTCATGGTCAACTGACTTCTTGGGGTCCAAAGGCAAAAGCATTTGTGGGGCAGCTGGGGGAAGAGGAGCAGTGAGTGGGGCGACCGGCGGGGGAGGGACGGAAGTTAAAGCCGCCTGCACGAGGGCAGGTGCAATCGGAGCAACTGCTGCGGTCTGCACTGTGGCAGGTGGGGCAGCAAGTGGGGCCATCATAGAAAGGTTAGGGTCAGCGCAAGGCATTGTAGGTGGAGGCGGAAGGGGCGCCTGCTGTTGCAGATGCTGCTGCAGCTGCTCTTGCTGAAGTTGCTGTTGCTGTAGCTGCTGTTGTTGAAGCTGTTGCTGCTGCACTTGTTGCTGTTGAAGCTGTTGCTGCTGCACTTGTTGCTGTTGAAGCTGTTGCTGCTGAAGCTGCTGTTGCTGTAACTGCTGCTGTTGTATCTGTTGCTGCTGAAGTTGCTGCTGTTGTAATTGCTGCTGTTGTTGAATGGTGTACGGAGAGGCGGTCTCTTGCCTCATAATCATACTCGCTTGAGTGGAAGGATCTACTACTAGACAGGTAGCTCCCTGCTGCTGGGGATCCAACGGGCGACCATTAACGTCAGTGTAGACCGACTGGCCGGTCAGAGGTGGGGGCTCACTGGCATACCGAGGAGATGCATGATCCATACCGTAGTGCGCAGGCGATGGCCCCCGAGAGGGTATACGCTGTTGGCCGTCTGACGTCATTTTGCCAGCTGTTACAGCAGCAGGTTCCCTGTAACCCCGACTCAACTCATGAGCGGTCGGAGGGGGAGGAGGTAGAGGCGATCCAGGGACCTGAGGTCCCGCTCTTCCTCCTTGAACTTGTTCCCACACACCATGAGGCCCAGGTGCCATCCCGAAATGAGAGCCCGACCTACTGAGCGGGTGAGGTGGAGGCGGCGGAGGCTGGTGTTCAGGCCGGTAGAAGCCCTCAGGTGGCCGAGGAGTCATGGCCGGGTCGTGCGAATAGTAATCCTGATGCGAAATGGATCCTCGGTGAGCCATGGGCGCTCCTTCGTAGTGGTTCAGATCAGGCACGGAGCCCTTCCTCAGCCCCCGCGGGTCCTGTCGCTCTGCGTAAAGCGGTCTGTACAGAGAGTCTTGGTAGGAATACGGCTCGCGTTTCAAATCCGGGTCAGGGGGGCGCACTCCTTGTGGAGGTGGGTACCACGCGCCTCCCTCTCCGTATGACAGGGAGCTCCGCCGGCCGGCTAGTCTTGCCTGCTGCTCGTGGACACTCTCAGACCTGTCCCACTGACCCTCATTCCCCCCTAACGTGTCCCAACTGTGGGAGCGACCAAGACTCAACTGCTTGTTAGGGACAAGCATTGGCAAAAAAAAGGAAAAAAATAGAGGAACCGTTTACGGAGGCAAAGAAAAAGAAGAAAGAAATTACAAAAACAGAACAAAACGCTGTGAAAACAGCCGTTTGTTTTCTTGTACACCGAAGAAAGACAGGTGCAAGCAAAAAGGAAAATGAAGCTGTGTCTATCGTTTCACCTGATATCGAGTTGTAATATTGTAAGTCCGTGCTATCGGGTGACTCCCCCTCGGGCTGTCCGTCATTGAATAATTAATCTGTGGTCTTGCTGCCGCGTTGTGCGCAGTGAAAGAGGACGCCACACACAAACACATTACACAAACCCACACAAGCACAGCACAATGCACGGCTACTCCACCAACAACACAGTGGCAGGTCATAGGCTGGAGATGGTCACCGAACGTTGATAAAAACAATTTTAAAAAAATAAAAAAGACCACAAACGAGAGGAGTTGATAGGTTGGGTTATAGGTTGCGATGGGAGGGGTCTTGTGCTAATCCAGTAGGGTTTATCTCTGGGACGTTTTACTCGCTCCGTCGATTGCTATGAGGGATTACAGCGAAATAAAGCCAGTTTAATTCCCCTTCCCACTGTGACGTCACTCGAATCAGATCAAACTGTATCTGACGATGACGACGATTAAGAGTCCAGCCCCCCCCCCCCAAAACCCACCTAACCTTTTCTTAAAGAGTCACCTACCTGAAGCTCTTAATGATGCACTGATGTCGTCAACAGGTTTCGGTATCCAGATTCCCGGCGCGGGGAGGGGAGGCCAGAGCCAGACGGGTTGCCGGGCTTCATTGAATTCAAATGAAATACAGTTCTCTCAGCTTAAGTCCCAATGTGCTGTCAGTACACATCAAATCCACTCTGATTGGACGCTAATCCTCCAGGCCTCATGCTCGCAGTGGAGCCACCACGCAACTGCTGCCTAACTCTACAATGTCCTTGATGCCTTAGTGGAGCTCAGTCACGGTCCCGCTTTAACAGGACATCGTTTGGGACCTGCCGTTTGTTTTCTGTTATGTCAAACGGAGGACACGCGAGGAGCAGAACCAAATCCACGCGTGACTTGTTCGACTTTACCAATCATCTCAATCCCCGTCATCGACATTACCATCAGTCTAGTAAAAGGTGTTGAATGGAAGCCTCGTGCCAAAAGCTAGAATATACTATTTCTTTTTGGGCCAGTACATGATTTCTAACCGTACGCATCTTACCGTCTTACCGCACCTTCCCCCATCTATTCCTAAAGCTACTCTGATCTCCTTCACTTAGAGCTCTGTAATCTGGATTTGCCCCTTTGCAGAGAAAAGTAAAACCCTGCGGGAGTGCGGTGTGTGCGTGCATCTGTATGTGTGCCTGTGCGTGGAAGAGAGGGGGGGGGGGTTTGTTACAGCATTTAATCCAAAGCACCTGCAGCCTTTTGCCTTACAAAAATACTACGCTCATTCCACTTCATTCAAATATGCAATCGCCCAGTGGAACAATCATGCCGTAGCCTTTCACATCAGGTTCGGGCCACGAGCAAACATGAAACATTCATCGTGTTTTTTATCCGAGGTGAAGTTCAACGTAGGACTGAAGGAGCTCCTGGCCGCCCGCATGCGTTACTTCGTGTCACTCTGGCTGAAACCTGATGCTCTCTGCAGAGGTGCCTGTTTATTAATGCATGATAACAGATGTAAGGTGAGGAAGTGTCCGTTTCCAAGCAAATCTAATGCCGGAGCGAGGCGTGGTATTAATACATATTTTACGTTGTGAAGAAAGTCTTGTTAATTACTGTCTCAGCATATTCAAAAAAAGTTCCTGAATATCTCACAGAGTGCCTGTGGAAACTGTGCAAGCATGTCGGTTGCCGGCGCCGATATCTTGTTTAATCAGAGCTGTGTAATTAGAGTAGGAAGAGATCAGACGTGCAGCGGAGTATTCTGCTATTTTCACAAGATGAGAGGGGAAAAAAGCTGATGACAGTGGCTGAAAAAATCAATTGCAAACAGTTGACTGAGAAGGTTTTTTTTTTTTTCTCCTTTAAGTAAGGTCAGAGGAGCATTCGTCAGCTTGATGTTAAAAGGTAATTAAAATAGGAAGGTGAGGAGGAAAGAGCCCTCACAGAGATCAAAAACCAATTGCTAATATGAATTAAGGTGAGAGTTGGAAAGAAAACCCATTTAGATTTATCAGAGGGAAGTTAGAATAAAGTAAATCAAAATGTTCAGCCATTTCAAATGCGGGTGTCACTCGTCACCTAAAGGCACACACGTCTCTTTCCTGTTTTATTTGAATCATCTGCTATATATACATATAGTCATTTCAATGTTAAAACCCTCTGTAGAAGCCAAACTTAATGTATATCCACCTTCATTCAAAATCTCATATCACTGCACGGTTAGCAATCTCTCTTAGCCTTGACACTTAAAAACTAGCTGCTTAAGATTTAGGAGAAAATGTCCTCTGGAGCTTTGCAGCAGGTCGCTCATCCCCACGAAGTCAACCTCGAACCGAGAGGCGGGGGGGCAGAGGTGTGTACTCGGGGGTTCGCCCATCTAATCCTGACAGAAATGCAAATCGAGTTATGTTTGCCTCAAACTAAAACAATATTTGACTTTCAAATTCTAATGTTCTTCCATTTGCCGCACATACCAGGCTGTGCACACAACGCCAGATTCACTGTAACACAGGGATTTAGGAATTAAGCCGGGGATTTTAGAACAAATATAATACCACCCCAGCAGAAGCTTATAAAGACCTTACATTGAATTAGACTTGACTTTTGAAAAATGTGAGCAAGAACCTTTAGATAGAGTAAATGAACCTCGAGTGAAGATGTGATTATACGTCGTTTCAGGGCTGTTCCGCTGCTAATTAATTTAGGAAAACTCTACTTTATCCTTGTGTGGTGCATTACTTTTTTTTTTTTACGTCTCTCAGTATAACTGGAAATTGCATTAAGCAGCAATTAACAAGACAAACGTGGCGCACCGCATGTCAGATCTTTCACACAAGGAGCGTGAACGCCGCGCGTGGTCCTCCGGCCCTCCTTATTAACAACAAGCAGGTCGATCCCTCCGCGTGGGCGCAACGCATTTCAACCACGTCAAATGTTTGCATTTTTTCGGCCTCAGAACGCGAACGCCGCACCGCAACGGAAATAAAGACAACTGTCGCCCCCAAAGCGTGACACGTCACGTACCGGAGGCATGATTTGAATGTTTGGTTTTGTGCACGAGCACGGGGGGGGGCAGGAGACACTGACTGGAAACGGGACCACAATGTCACACAGTGGCGTCGGATGAATTGTAATGCACGCGCCACTGAAACGCGGCGGCGGCCTTGTGTGTGTTTCCAGCGGGACTATTTATCCAAACGTCTCCACAGGGACTAAATGGACTGTAAAACGGAGGTCGATGGCCGTCAGGTTAGTATTTATCTAAACGACAACGGCGTAGAGGAACATTCTGAACTGGCACGCAGTTTAAAATCCACTTTCCTTCGTGTACGTACATTGTTTTATCCACGTCAACAACATAGAGATCCGTCTGCCTACGCTCCTCCATCTCCTTTGGAGTGCCTTCTCGCGGACCCCGCGGGTCATTTACATACGCAGCGTCGTAGCTGTGGAATTCATTTTGAAACTCAATTTTTCCTGGAACTCATTGCCAACTTTCAATAACAGCAAAGCTCCGTGCGAGCTCACGCGGAGGCAAATACAGACACCGAGAAGACAAGGGAGGGAAAAAACCCGTAGCAGAAGATTGCATTCGGGGCGGCGCAGGAGACAGTCACACTCTAATGAAAATAACAGCACCATCACACGCGCCAGTTTGCAAAGAATTATCATATGAATTTCCTTCCAAAAGCAACACTTTCTACCATTTTTCATCTGCTGTTCCCCCCCTCCCCGAGTTCTCCATGCCCCTCCCTGCCTCTCCACAAAGCCTATAAAGGGGTCGCGGGTTTTGGTGTGGAGCCTGGAACAAGCCCGGGGGGGCAGAAGAGGGGGGGGGGGGTCAGACGCAGAGACCGCTCCGATGACTTCATAGCTGAGCTGGATGCCAGAGCGCGGGGGGATGAGTGGGAGGGACGAAAGCAGTGGAAGAAGTGGATGCAGCAAAGCATTGAATCTGTGCTGAAAAGCTCTGGATATGAATCCCCCCCCCCCCCCGAAATCCTTGCAGGGGAGGATGACATCAGGACACCCCCCCACCCCCCTTTCCTTTCCTTTCCCTCCACAGACAGCCCTGGTCGTCTCCTCTCGCTGGTCCCTTCAATCTGAGAACACGTTTTGTGGTGATTTAGCTCGACGTGGCCACATTATTTCCCGCTCGCTGTCTAAACAAGCTCGTGCAAGTCGTGCACGTGACCAAACAAGATGCATTATCGAGGATTAACATATTTCTTTAACCGCCAACTAAAACACTCCGACCGGCCATGACGGATTCCACTACCCCACCTTGTGGTGTTTGCGTCCAAGCACAGATTTACAACTCGTAAATCAACATCGGGGGGGGGCGACATGCTGTCACGGCGACCTGGTTCACGTCGCAGCGCCGCTCACGTCCCGTCTCTGCCCAGATCGGTCAGTTAGCTCTGCCTAAACGGCGATGGCAAGGACACAATGCATGCTGGGTACACAGATGGAGTGGACAGAAGGAGAAGCAGAGACGGAGAGAGAGAGAGAGAGAGAAAGGGGGGAATGGGAGAGAGAGGGAGCGAGAATGGGAACTGATGCTCGTAACAGATGTTTGCCACAGTTCCCTTATTGCAGTTACACTCTTCTTGGCACTTTATCAAACTCCCAACAGAAGGAGCAATTGTACCGTATACCCTTTGAAAGCGGATATCTTAACCAAACAAAGCTGCTCGGATTAATGGAGAAATAGAGAAGAAAAGTCTTGTATTTTTATAATCACTTAAAATTCCCTTTGCTTCACTTTAAATGTATTATTCAGTCAAAAGAACATGGTAATCAATCATTTTTCACTGGTTCCCATCGTATTTCCCATTGTTTTCTGCTGACATCACAAAGAAAACATACATAGGAATGTTTAGATTTTATACTTATTTACAGAACCAGTTGAGTGTTTGGACCAATGTGTCTAATGTGATCTAGTCGTCAAAATGCTCCATTTATTTTGAGTCAAAAACCCAAGAATAATCATATGCACCAGTTGGAGACAAATCCATAATGTTAATAAGAGTGGTTACTGTTTAGGCCGGGCTCCGCTAACGAAACCGATCCCATGACGTGACGCTTCCAGAGCCGGCGGTTTCAGCAGAAACGACTTCCTGGGGAAAATCCTAATTTGATTATTGATTAACCGTCAAAAGTAATTCATTGCGCAAAAAAAAAAAAAAAAAGCCAAACAGTCTTTGTTTCCAGCTCGGATCCGACCATGCGCGTCTAATTTGAAAACCACCAAAAAAAAAAAAAAATTCCGCCATGAAAGCAGGGGGCTGTGAATCACATGACCACACCCTCAACGGTGAAACCGCCGCCCACGCGGGGGGAAATGTGCATTCCTGCCCCGTGACTGCGCTCGATTGGACTAAACGG